AAAGAAAAATCAATATTAAATCTCCAGTTCATTACCAGTACTGTATTTGCCTAATGAACTCTCTACATGCAAAATTTTAATAATTTACTGAAAAATACCTGGTAAATAACTATTTATCAAAAATAATATTGATTATTTGTAATCATCTTAACTGCAGGTCAATGTTCATAAGTCATTAATGTATTCCAAAGTACTATGGTCATAAGAGCAGAACATCATATGTCTGAAGACCTACTGTATTAAGATTTATATGTGTAGATATTAGTAGTAGGTTGGTAGACAGCAACCACCCAGGGAGGTACTACCGTCCTACCAAGTGAGTGTAAAACGAAGCCTGTGATTGTTTTACATGATGGTAGGATTGCTGATGTCTTTTGTCTGTCTCATAAATATGCAAGATTACAGGCATGTCTTGCTACTTCTACTTACACTTAGGTCACACTACACATACATGTACACATTTATTTATACACACTCATCTGAGTTTTCTTTGATTTTATCTTAATAGTTCTTGGTCTTATTAATTTTCCCTTTATATCCATGGGGAAGTGGAATAAGAATCTTTCCTCCGTAAGCCATGCGTGTTGTAAAAGTCAACTAAAATGCCGGGAACAATGGGCTAGTAACCCCTTTTCCTGTAAAGATTACTAAAAAGAATAAGAAGAAGAAAATTGTCAAAGTGGGAAGTCTGAATGTGCGTGGATGTTGTGCAGATGATAAGAAAGAGATGATTGTGGATGTTTGAATGAGAAAAAGCTGATGTCCTGGCTTAAGTGAAACAAAGCTAAGGGGGTGGGAGAGTTTCAGTGGAGAGGAATAAATGGGATTAGGTCAGGGGTTTCAAATAGAGTTAGAGCTAAAGAAGGAGTAGCAATAATGTTGAAGGATAAGCTATGGCAGGAAAAGAGGGACTATAAATGTATTAATTCAAGGATTATGTGGAGCAAAATAAAGATTGGATGTGAAAAGTGGGTTATAATAAGCGTGTATGCACCTGGAGAAGAGAGAAGTGTAGAGGAGAGAGAGAGATTTTGGGAAATGTTGAGTGAATGCGTGGGGAGTTTTGAATCAAGTGTGAGAGTAATGGTGGTTGGGGATTTTAATGCTAAAGTGGGTAAAAATGTTATGGAGGGAGTAGTAGGTAAATTTGGGGTGGCCAGGGGTAAATGTAAATGGGGAGCCTTTAATTGAGCTATGTGTAGAAAGAAATTTGGTAATAAGTAATACATATTTTATGAAAAAGAGGATAAATAAATATACAAGGTATGATGTAGCACGTAATGAAAGTAGTTTATTAGATTATGTATTGGTGGATAAAAGGTTGATGGGTAGGCTCCAGGATGTACATGTTTATAGAGGGTCAACTGATATATCGGATCATTATTTAGTTGTAGCTACAGTTAGAGTAAGAGGTAGATGGGAAAAGAGGAAGGTGGCAACAACAAGTAAGAGGGAGGTGAAAGTGTTATAAACTAAGGGAGGAGGAAGTTCGGGTGAGATATAAGCGACTATTGGCAGAAAGGTGGGCTAGTGCAAAGATGAGTAGTGGGGGGGTTGAAGAGGGTTGGAATAGTTTTAAAAATGCAGTATTAGAATGTGGGGCAGAAGTTTGTGGTTATAGGAGGGTGGGGGCAGGAGGAAAGAGGAGTGATTGGTGGAATGATGAAGTAAAGGGTGTGATAAAAGAGAAAAAGGTAGCTTATGAGAGGTTTTTACAAAGCAGAAGTGTTATAAGAAGAGCAGAGTATATGGAGAGTAAAAGAAAGGTAAAGAGAGTGGTGAGAGAGTGCAAAAGGAGAGCAGATGATAGAGTGGGAGAGGCACTGTCAAGAAATTTTAATGAAAATAAGAAAAAATTTTGGGAGCGAGTTAAACAAGTTAAGAAAGCCTAGGGAAAATATGGATTTGTCAGTTAAAAAACAGAGTAGGGGAGTTAGTAGATGGGGAGATGGAGGTATTGGGTAGATGGCGAGAATATTTTGAGGAACTTTTAAATGTTAAGGAAGAAACAGAGGCAGTAATTTCATGCACTGGTCAGGGAGGTATACCATCTTTTAGGAGTGAAGAAGAGCAGAATGTAAGTGTGGGGGAGGTACGTGAGGCATTACGTAAAATGAAAGGGGGTAAAGCAGCTGGAACTGATGGGATCATGACAGAAATGTTAAAAGCAGGGGGGGATATAGTGTTGGAGTGGTTGGTACTTTTGTTTAATAAATGTATGAAAGAGGGGAAGGTACCTAGGGATTGGCAGAGAGCATGTATAGTCCCTTTATATAAAGGGAAAGGGGACAAAAGAGACTGTAAAAATTATAGAGGAATAAGCTTACTGAGTATACCAGGAAAAGTGTACGGTAGGGTTATAATTGAAAGAATTAGAGGTAAGACAGAATGTAGCATTGCGGATGAGCAAGGAGGTTTTAGAGTGGGTAGGGGATGTGTAGATCAGGTGTTTACATTGAAGCATATATGTGAACAGTATTTAGATAAAGATAGGGAGGTTTTATTGCATTTATGGATTTAGAAAAGGCATATGATAGAGTGGATAGAGGAGCAATGTGGCAGATGTTGCAAGTATATGGAATAGGTGGTAAGTTATTAAATGCTGTAAAGAGTTTTTATGAGGATAGTGAGGCTCAGGTTAGGGTGTGTAGAAGAGGAGACTATTTCCCCGGGTTTAAAAGTAGGTCTTAGACAGGGATGTGTAATGTCCCCCATGGTTGTTTAATATATTTATAGATGGGGTTGTAAAGGAAGTAAATGCTAGGGTGTTTGGGAGAGGGGGGGGATTAAAATTATGGGGAATCAAATTCAAAATGGGAATTGACACAGTTACTTTTTGCTGATGATACTGGGGCTTAGGGGAGATTCTAAAAGAAAAATTGCAAAGGTTAGTGGATGAGTTTGGGAATGTGGTAAAGGTAGAAAGTTGAAAGGAACATAAAAAAGAGTAAGGTGATGAGGGTGTCAAATGATTTAGATAAAGAAAAATTGGATATCAAATTGGGGGAGGAGGATAGGAAGAAGTGAATGTTTTCAGATACTTGGGAGTTGACGTGTCGGCGGATGGATTTATGAAGGATGAGGTTAATCATAGAATTGATGAGGGGAAAAAAGGTGAGGGGTGCGTTGAGGTATATGTGGAGTCAAAAAACGTTATCTATGGAGGAAAAAGAAGGGAATGTATGAAAGTAAGTAGTACCAACACTCTTATATGGGTGTGAAGCTTGGTGGTAAATGCAGCAGAAAGGAGAGGGTTTGGGGAGGCAGCGGAGATGTCCTGTCTAAGGGCAATGTGGTGTAAATATTATGCAAAAAATTCGGAGTGTGGAAATTTAGGAGAAGGTGTGGAGTTAATAAAAGTATTAGTCAGAGGGCAGAAGAGGGGTTGTTGAGGTGGTTTGGCATTTAGAGAGAATGGATCACAGTAGAATGACATGGAAAGCAATAAATCTATGGGGAAGGAAGGCGGGGTAGGGTCGTCCTCGAAAGGGTTGGAGAGAGGGGGTAAAGGAGGTTTTGTGGGTAAGGGGCCTTGGATTTCCAGCAAGCGTGCGTGAGCGTGTTAGATAGGATAAAATGGAGACGAATGGTACTTGGACCTGACGATCTGTTGGAGTGTGAGCAGGGTAATATTTAGTGAAGGGATTCAGGGAAACCGGTTATTTTCATATAGTCGGACTTGAGTCCTGGAAATGGGAAGTACAATGCCTGCACTTTAAAGGAGGGGTTTGGGATATTGGCAGTTTGGAGGGATATGTTGTGTATCTTTATATGTGTATGCTTCTAGACTGTTGTATTCTGAGCACCTCTGCAAAAACAGTGATAATGTGCGAGTGTGGTGAAAGTGTTGAATGATGATGAAAGTATTTTCTTTTTGGGGATTTTCTTTCTTTTTTGGGTCACCCTGCCTCGGTGGGAGACGGCCGACTTGTTGAAAAAAAAAAAAAAAAAATGTATATGCATGCATGCTCTGACTTTTCATCATTCACAATCACTGTCTTTGAAGAGGCTGAGATACGACAGTTTAGATGTCACTCAAAACTACCTATATCCTAAACCCCTTCTTTAAATTGCAGGCACTGTACTTCCCATTTCCAGGACTCAAGTCCGGCTAACTGGTTTACCTGAATCCCTTCTCAAAATATTACCCCACACTTTTCTTGCCACTTCTTTGTCCCAGGCCTCAGACCTGTCACTGAATTACCCCTTTATCCACTGGAATCAACCCCTCTTATTCCCTCTCACCACCATCTACAAACCAACTACTGTATAACCAAGGAGCTACTTGACAAGACAAAAATGAACTGTAGACAAAATCTCAAACATGATCATAGCCAAATAATGTGGTACAAGAATTCTGAGACAATCACAGCAATCTCATAACAATGTTAACATGCAATCTGCTTTAAGGATTTAAATAATAAGGAGGGGGGCACAAGACTTCAATATTTGAAAGTACAATATACATTTCTTCATGATGAAGTGCTAAATCTACATGCATAATAGTGCCTGGGAAATGGAATACATTCGGGATCAATCCAAAGGAAAGGAGGGCAGCTCCAACTTCTTGGATTAAGAATCCTTCACTGACATTAAGACACCACTCCTGAAAAGACTACAAAGTAAAGAAATCAGGTACCTTTAACAAGGTAAGGATAGGGAACAATAAACAAACTGACGAATAGTAGCACAATGTACATTCAAACAGAATTCACGTAACTGGACTGAAAGTTACGAGAACTAGTGTGCTAGAGCTCACTTCCGACTTTTAAATGCAACCTCAAGGTAATCACATCTACTTCACGAGTATTCTACTTTTTTTTTTTTTAACAACACATCAGCCATTTCCCACCAAGGCAGGGTGACCCAAAAAAAGAAGAAACACTTTTATCATCATTCACTCCATCACTGCCTTGTCAGAGGTGCACTTAAGTTTACAGTTATAAAACCAACTTATAAAATATCACAAATGTCCACGAATACTCACACAGCAAATTTACCTTTTAAATCAACGAGGTTCGAGTCCTTTTCTTGTGCTTTTATTTCTAACATTTGTTTGTCATTCTGAAGTTCTTCATTCACTGCCTTAAGATCTAGCAATTCTTGAGCTATAACTGCTTTTTCAGAGTATTCTTCTTTATATTTACAAATAATTCCATAAGATTTCTCTACTTCTTCCTTCAGTTCTTCACATTCCTTATGCCACTTTTCACATTCAATATTCTTGGAATTTATCACATCTTGGAGACTACTAATTTGTGCAGCATTTTTGCTGCTTAATGTTTTCTCTGCCTGAAAATCTGATCTCAGCTTCATTAGTTCTTCCTTATGTTTTTCAAGTTCTAGCTTTATTACTTTGTATTCGTCTTCTAAAAATTCTTTGCACTTAAGTTCAGATAGCATTTCTTCTAATTTATTATCTTTCTGGCTAGATATATGCTGCAACTTCAATTCTGACTCAGTTATGTTTTCAAGTGCACTTTGAATATTCTGTACCTGAATCATCAGCATCTCATTTTTACTTTCCACTTCTTTAATTATAGCAGTTTTAGTTAAAATTTCTTGTGTATGCTGAAGGTGTGTAGTCTCTTTATCAGACAAAAGTTTCTTATTAAGCACATTAATTTGTTCTATTTCTATAATGAGGCTGGCATTTTTCATTTCTTTCTCTGTTATCAGTGTTTCCATTTCATTCACTTTTCGTTTGAACTCTTCTTTCAGTTGAGAAATATCATTTTCCAAAGAATTTATTTTTTCCTGTGTCTGAACAATGTTAACATCTGTTAATAATTTATTTTTTTTCTCTGACTGCAACATGTTTTGCAACTGTGCTCTTTCTTTTCTCATTTCCTCACACTCACCCTGACTCTCTTCCAAAGATTCAGATAACTGGTGGCATTTTTCCTTTATATTCTTGTACTCAGTGCTCTCTAATTCAGTTTCTTTAAGTGTAGCCTCTAAAGCTATAATTTTATCTTTCAGTTCAAGATTGACGTTTTCAAGTTCTTGTAAAATATTTGTAGTCTCTTTAAGTTCATTAACTTGCATTTCGAGATTAAGAATTCTCTCATTCTTTTCAATTAACTGATTCTTGAAAGTATTTGCCTCATTCATAGCCCTTTCACAGTTTACTTTGAAAGTAGAAGTGTTCAGCTGTTCAGAGGCTCTCTCTTCCTGCACACACACTAGCTTGTTATTTAGCTGAAAGAAAAAAAAATCAAACATGTTTAGACAATAGGTAAACATAATTGAATATTATTTGCTGTAGTGTTTATGAACAAATTATTGTATCTAGATTGATGCATGTTCTTTTGTACTGAAGCTACCGACCAATTATGCTAGAAACTATTTTGTTAGTAGCGTTATATTAGTCAACCTTAGTACATTTTAAAGGAAGAATAAATACTAACCTCGTTTATGTTATTCTTGAGCTGGTCTGTCTGTCTCTTAAGCAAGCCATTATCCTTTTCCAGCTGAGAGTTAACATTTTGCAGGTGTGAGAAGAGAGAGAGAGATTCTGTTAGCTTATTACTAAGAGTGTGTCTTTCCTGAGCTAATGCATCTCTCTCTTGCAACAACTCTGCCACTCTTAACTCAGTTTTAGTATCTCCTGAAGATGTGTTCATACTGGAGGAAATTGGGAAATTATTGCATTTAAGTTCAGCAATCTCCAACAGCAACTTACTCTTATCCCTGTTGGAGGATGCACATATTTAAAAATTTCACAAGCATATACCAAAGATTATGCTGCAATGATCATAGCCCATGAAAAATATGATTTCAAGTTTTTAGTTCTTAATAAAACAAGTGATAAATTTCCAAGTCAACCGTAAGCTATTTAGTTCAACACAAGTAACAGAATTAATTATAGCATGCTATTTCACATTTGTCTAACATTAAGATACAAATTCAAACAATGTACCTAAAATATTCTTCTTCAATTTTCCACTTCTCTTTCTGCAGCTTCTCCAACTGCATGCAGCATTCCTTGTGTTCCTGTACAATGAAAGATTATTTCTTAAATTACAAGGCAAATGCAAATAATACAATTTTTAATAAAGTGACTGAGCAGTCAATCAGAAGACTGGTCTGAAACTGGACTAATGTAGAGATGATTCCTTGAATATTTAAACAGTAAACAATATACAGTATATCAAATTATGTTTTCCAGATTCAAAGTACATTTTGCCTCTAATGCTACGCATTCTAAAGACACCAGAGCAGAACTTTTATCCCAAAGGTAAGATAACCCAAAGAAGGAAAACACTCACTATAGTAAAAATCGATGTAACACTGACAGGCTGTTGGAGAAGAGAGAAAAGGCAAACACTATTGGACACATTACAATCCTGGGACCTTAATCACTCCAAATATACATTAGGAATAATCAAGGTTCCAGGACAGATTTTTTTCATTAAAACATTGACAGTTTCCCACCGAGGCAGGGTGACCCAAGTAAAAAGAAACACTTTCATTATCATTCACTCTATCACTGTCTTGCCAGAGGCTGTGTCTATGGTTAAAAAACTGCAACATATCAATACCCTTCCTTCAGTGTGCAAGCACAGTACTTCCCACCTCCAAGATTCAAGTCTGGCTAACCAGCTTCCTTGAATCCCTTCATAAATTACTTTGCTTACACTCCAACAGCATGTCAAGTCATATTAACCCTTTGACTGCTGCAAATCCAAATCCTGAAGTGTCTTCTGGTGCCGCAAAATATTTGGAGAGAGATAAAAAAAAAAAATCTTATGAAATGATAGAGAATCTTTTCCCGCTGATAATGACAGCAAGAGTATAAAACTTGATGGAAAACTTATTACGCTCTCGCAAAGTTAGCGACCTCGGCGACATTTATGCATTGGCAATTTCGCCCACTTTGAGCCCTATTTTCGGCCAATTCCTTTGTTCCAGTCAACCAAACTAGCAGCTATTTCTTTAGAACTCCATTTGGTCTATCGATTGAGTACAAGAAACCGCCCATTTACCGATTTCAACTACCCAACAGTGGTCAGAAATTGGCAATTTGGCCAATTTCATGCAAATAAAAAAATACGTCAGTTTCAAAATAGGGTCTAGAATGAACAATGCAGACATTCCAGGAACTAAAATAATTTTTTTTCTGTTCATCAGTCATGCCTCCAGGACCCTGTTGTAATACTCTTGCTTTCTATTTTGAATTTTTATTCACATAAATAATAGAATATTTACTATTATGCAGACTACTGCAATATTGTAATAATTGTACAAATAATGTCAACCCATTCGTGGCTGCATATTAGAATGGCTAGTTTGACATTTCTGCTACTTTGAGCTCCATTTCAAGATCCTTTTCAGAGTAAAACCAATAAAAATCACTTCTATTTCTATAATGTTTTCCATTCTATCAAATGAGACAAAAAAACAAGAATACAACCATAAATAGTATACAAAAATACACCTCAAAGTCAGCGTTTTAATCAAATAACACAGTTTTTTTTCTCACTATGCACTGTGATACAGGATTTTTTTTATACTGCACACACCGACCCATTCTCTCACATGTGGGTCTACCAGCTTTCTCCATCGTGATTTCGAGCCACTAGAATTTTTTTTAGTATATATACGTCAAAAACACTGGCTCGTAAGACGTATGTATATGGCCGAAACAGTCAAAGGGTTAACCCTTTGACTGTCGCGGCTGTATATATACGTCTTAGGAGATATCGTGTTTGACGTATATATACTCAAATTCTAGCGGCTTCAAATCTAGCAGGAGAAAGCTGGTAGGCCCACATGCGAGAGAATGGGTCTGTGTGGCCAGTGTGCACCATATAAAAAAGATCCTGGAGCATGCAGTGCATAATGAGAAAAAAACTCCGTGTTATTTGATTAAAACGCTGACTGAGGTGCATTTTTGTATACTATTTATGGTTGTATTCTTGTTTTCTTTGTCTCATTTGATAGAATGGAAAACATTATAGAAATAGAAGTGATTTTTATTGGTTTTACTCTGAAAATGCCGACTTTGTGGTCTATTTTCGTATAGTATTTATGGTTGTATTCTCGTTTTCTTGGTCTCATTTGATAGAATGAAAAATATATTATAAAAATAGAGGTGATTTTGATTGATTTTACTATAAAAAGAACCTGGAAATGGAGCACAAAGTATGGGAAATGTTTGATTTTTGCAGACGTTCAAAAGTAAACAAATGATGTCGTTGTCCAATAAATGTCCAAATAGCCATTCTAATATGCAGTCATGAATGGGTTGATGTAATTTTTACAATTATTACAGTAGTCTGCATAATAGTAATCTTCTATTTCTTGTTTGAATAAAATTTCAAAATAAAAAGCAAGAGTAATATCAGAGGGGCCTGGAGATGTGACTGAAGAACAAAGAAAATGTTATTTTAGAGCCAGGAATGTCTGCATTGTTCATTCTGGTCCTTATTTTGAAATTGTCATATATTTTAATTTTCGTGAAATTGGCAAAATTGCAAATTTCTAACCATGTTATTGGGTAGTTGAAATCGGTAAATGGGCAGTTTCTTGTACTCAATCGATAGAAAAAATGGAGTTCTGAAGAAATAGCTATGAGTTTGGTTGACTGGAATAATGGAATTAGCCGAAAATAGGGCTCAAAGTGGGCGAAATCGCCGATTTGTAAATATCGCCGAGGTCGCTAACTTCGCGAGAGCGTAATTCCGTCAGTTTTCAATCATATTCGTTTTTTGGGGGTCTTTGCAATCGGAAAAAGATTATCTATTTTTCATGAGAAAAAATCATTTTTTTTTTTTTTAAATTTTGCGACACCAGGAGACACCTCAGGATTGGGGGTTGCGACAGTCAAAGGTCTAATGCATTGGCAATTTCACCCACTTTGAGCCCTATTTTCAGCAAATTCCATTGTCTTAGTCGACCAAACTCGAGATATTCTTCTAGTATTCCTTCTATTTTATCCATTGAATACAAGAAACTGCCCATTTACCTATTTTAATTACCAAATAAAGTGATTGGAAATCAGTAATTTGGCTCTTTTCACCCACAAAAAAATTGCCAATTTAAAGTGTCCAGTATAAAAAATGCAGACATTCCTGCCACTAAAAAAATTTTCTCTGTTCATTAATTATATTCCCAGGCCTATCCTATATTATGCTTGCTTTCAAGTTTGAATTTTTCGCACAAAAAATAGAAGATTTACTGCTATGCAGACCACTGCATTATTGTAATAATTGTATAAGCAATGTCAGTGCATTCCTGAACATGTATTAGACTGACCAGTTGGATGCATACTGGACAAGCGACATAATCTGAGTACTCTGGAATATTGGTAAAAATCAAACATTTCCAATTCTTTGAGCTCAATTTCAATCTCTTTTCAGTCTGAAACTAATCAATTATCTATTTCTGTAATGTATGTTCCTTTCTATCAAATGAAACCCAGAAACCGAGAATAAAGCCATGAAAACAATACGAAAATACACCGCAAAAAAATAGGTTTTAAACCAAAAAACAGGGTCACAATTTTTTTCATGCACAGCGTGGTGCAGGTTTTCTTTTATATGGCGCACTTACCACAAACGCATTCTCTCATACCTACGCCCAATTTACCACTCACAGCTTATCTGAGCGAGCTGAACTCGTGGTATAGTACTATGGCCATATAGTGACCCCAAAATCACAGCACTATGGCACAGATGGTCAACTGGTTAAGTTAAGTCCTGTTTCCAGTTATACAATTTGAACTGACTATGAAAGATTATGTGCTAGAGTTAAAATTATCACTAGAGCATTTTTTATTGAGATAAGATTTTCCTTGGATTTTTAACCCCAGAGGGTTTGCCACCCAGGATAACCCAAGAAAGTCAGTGTGTTATCGAGGACCGTTTCATTTCAATTGGGGTCCTCAAACATGTCCTCCAGGATGCGAGCCACACAATTCGACTAACACTCAGGTACCTATTTGCTGCTAGGTGAACATGACAGCAGGTGTAAGGAAACACGTGGAAATGTTTCCAACCCGCCAGGAATTGAACCCAGGCCCTCCGTGTGTGAAGCGAGAGCTTTAGCCACCAGGCAACTCAAATATTCATAATAAGTATAACAGAAACTGACATTTAGGTTAATGTGAACTCAGAATTTTCTTTGTCTGGTCTTGCTGACAGGCCTTACCTGTGCTGATAACTGCTCTCTTAACTCAGATATATACTGGTCCCTCTCCTCTACTCGAGCCGCCTGCTGACTCAACATTGCTCGAGCATCTTCTAGTACACTTTCTATTTCACTGATGTACATCATCTGAAAACCAAAATTTTCCTAATAAAATCAATCGGGCATAAATATTCACAACATTAAAAACCATGCCTCATCCCATTCCCACACGCTAGATAACAGGGATATCTTGCTACTCCTACTTACACTTTGGTCACACTTCACAGACATGCACATGCATATATATATATATACATACATCTAGGTTTTTCTCCTTTTTCTAAATAGCTCTTGTTCTTTTTTATTTCTTCTATTGTCCATGGGGAAGTGGAAAAGAATCTTTCCTCCGTAAGCCATGCGTGTCGTATGAGGCAACTAAAATGCCGGGAGCAATGGGCTAGTAACCCCTTCTCCTGTATACATTTACTAAAAAAGAGAAGAAGAAAAACTTTTTAAAACTGGGTGCTTAAATGTGCGTGGATGTAGTGCGGATGACAAGAAACAGATGATTGCTGATGTTATGAATGAAAAGAAGTTGGATGTCCTGGCTCTAAGCGAAACAAAGCTGAAGGGGGTAGGAGAGTTCAGTGGGGGGAAATAAATGGGATTAAATCTGGGAGTATCTGAGAGAGTTAGAGCAAAGGAAGGGGTAGCAGTAATGTTAAATGATCAGTTATGTAAGAGAAAAGAGAATATGAATGTGTAAATTCAAGAATTATGTGGATTAAAGTAAAGGTTGGATGCGAGAAGTGGGTCATAATAAGCGTGTATGCACCTGGAGAAGAGAGGAATGCAGAGGAGAGAGAGAGATTTTGGGAGATGTTAAGTGAATGTATAGGAGCCTTTGAACCAAGTGAGAGAGTAATTGTGGTAGGGGACCTGAATGCTAAAGTAGGAGAAACTTTTAGAGAGGGTGTGGTAGGTAAGTTTGGGGTGCCAGGTGTAAATGATAATGGGAGCCCTTTGATTGAACTTTGTATAGAAAGGGGTTTAGTTATAGGTAATACATATTTTAAGAAAAAGAGGATAAATAAGTATACAAGATATGATGTAGGGCGAAAATGACAGTAGTTTGTTGGATTATGTATTGGTAGATAAAAGACTGCTGAGTAGACTTCAGGATGTACATGTTTATAAAGGGGCCACAGATATATCAGATCACTTTCTAGTTGTAGCTACACTGAGAGTAAAAGGTAGATGGGATACAAGGAGAATAGAAGCATCAGGGAAGAGAGAGGTGAAGGTTTATAAACTAAAAGAGGAGGCAGTTAGGGTAAGATATAAACAGCTATTGGAGGATAGATGGGCTAATGAGAGCATAGGCAATGGGGTCGAAGAGGTATGGGGTAGGATTAAAAATGTAGTGTTAGAGTGTTCAGCAGAAGTTTGTGGTTACAGGAAAGTGGGTGCAGGAGGGAAGAGGAGCGATTGGTGGAATGATGATGTAAAGAGAGTAGTAAGGGAGAAAAAGTTAGCATATGAGAAGTTTTTACAAAGTAGAAGTGATGCAAGGAGGGAAGAGTATATGGAGAAAAAGAGAGAGGTTAAGAGAGTGGTGAAGCAATGTAAAAACAGAGCAAATGAGAGAGTGGGTGAGATGTTATCAACAAATTTTGTTGAAAATAAGAAAAAGTTTAGGAGTGAGATTAACAAGTTAAGAAAGCCTAGAGAACAAATGGATTTGTCAGTTAAAAATAGGAGAGGAGAGTTATTAAATGGAGAGTTAGAGGTATTGGGAAGATGGAGGGAATATTTTGAGGAATTGTTAAATGTTGATGAAGATAGGGAAGCTGTGATTTCGTGTATAGGGCAAGGAGGAATAACATCTTGTAGGAGTGAGGAAGAGCCAGTTGTGAGTGTGGGGGAAGTTCGTGAGGCAGTAGGTAAAATGAAAGGGGGTAAGGCAGCCGGGATTGATGGGATAAAGATAGAAATGTTAAAAGCAGGTGGGGATATAGTTTTGGAGTGGTTGGTGCAATTATTTAATAAATGTATGGAAGAGGGTAAGGTACCTAGGGATTGGCAGAGAGCATGCATAGTTCCTTTGTATAAAGGCAAAGGGGATAAAAGAGAGTGCAAAAATTATAGGGGGATAAGTCTGTTGAGTGTACCTGGTAAAGTGAATGGTAGAGTTATAATTGAAAGAATTAAGAGTAAGACGGAGAATAGAATAGCAGATGAACAAGGAGGCTTTAGGAAAGGTAGGGGGTGTGTGGACCAGGTGTTTACAGTGAAACATATAAGTGAACAGTATTTAGATAAGGCTAAAGAGGTCTTTGTGGCATTTATGGATTTGGAAAAGGCGTATGACAGGGTGGATAGGGGGGCAATGTGGCAGATGTTGCAAGTGTATGGTGTAGGAGGTAGGTTACTGAAAGCAGTGAAGAGTTTTTACGAGGATAGTGAGGCTCAAGTTAGAGTATGTAGGAAAGAGGGAAATTTTTTCCCAGTAAAAGTAGGCCTTAGACAAGGATGTGTGATGTCACCGTGGTTGTTTAATATATTTATAGATGGGGTTGTAAGAGAAGTAAATGCGAGGGTCTTGGCAAGAGGCGTGGAGTTAAAAGATAAAGAATCACACACAAAGTGGGAGTTGTCACAGCTGCTCTTTGCTGATGACACTGTGCTCTTGGGAGATTCTGAAGAGAATTTGCAGAGATTGGGGGATGAATTTGGTAGGGTGTGCAAAAGAAGAAAATTAAAGGTGAATACAGGAAAGAGTAAGGTTATGAGGATAACAAAAAGATTAGGTGATGAAAGATTGAATATCAGATTGGAGGGGAGAGAGTATGGAGGAGGTAAAACGTATTCAGATATTTGGGAGTGGACGTGTCAGCGGATGGGTCTATGAAAGATGAGGTGAAATCATAGAATTGATGAGGGAAAAAGAGTGAGTGGTGCACTTAGAGTCTGTGGAGACAAAGAACTTTGTCCTTGGAGGCAAAGAGGGGAATGTATGAGAGTATAGTTTTACCAACGCTTTTATATGGGTGTAAAACCGTGGGTGATGAATGTTGCAGCGAGGAGAAGGCTGGAGGCAGTGGAGATGTCATGTCTGAGGGCAATGTGTGGGTGTGAATATAATGCAGAGGAATTCGTAGTTTGGAATTAGGAGGAGGTGCGGGATTACCAAAACTGTTGTCCAGAGGGTGAGGAAGGGTTGTTGAGGTGGTTCGGACATGTAGAGAGAATGGAGCGAAACAGAATGACTTCAAGAGTGTATCAGTTCTGTAGGGGAAAGGGAAAGGCGGGGTGGGGTCGGCCTAGGAAAGGTTGGAGGGAGGGGGTAAAGGAGGTTTTGTGTGCGAGGGGCTTGGACTTTCAGCAGGCATGCGTGAGCGTGTTTGATAGGAGTGAATGGAGACAAATGGTTTTTAATACTTGACGTGCTGTTGGAGTGTGAGCAAATTAACATTTATGAAGGGGTTCAGGGAAACCGGCAGGCCGGACTTGAGTCCTGGAGATGGGAAGTACAGTGCCTGCACTCTGAAGGAGGGGTGTTAATGTTGCAGTTTAAAAACTGTAGTGTAAAGCACCCTTCTGGCAAGACAGTGATGGAGTGAATGATGGTGAAAGTTTTTCTTTTTCGGGCCACCCTGCCTTGGTGGGAATTGGCCAGTGTGATAATAAAAAAAATAAAAAAACATGCAAGGTTTCAGGTATGTCTTGCTACTTCTACTCACACTACACATACATGTACAACTGCATATACATATATATATACATATATACACACATACATACATACACACCCCTCTGGGTTTTCTCCTGTTTTCATTCTAGCTCTTGTGTTTGTTTATTTCCTCTTATCTCCATGGGGAAAGGGAACAGAATTCTTCCTCCGTAAGCCATGCGTGTGGTAAGAGGCAACTAAAATGCCAGGAGCAAGGGGCTAGTAACCTCTTCTCCTGTATATATTACTAAATGTAAAAGGAGAAACTTGTTTTTCCTTTTGGGTCACCCCACCTCGGTGGGATACGGCCAGTGTTGAAAGAAAAAAAGATATGCACATATGTGTATGAATGTATTTTTTTTTTTAACAAGTCGGCCGTCTCCCACCGAGGCAGGGTGACCCAAAAAGAAAGAAACTCCCCAAAAAGAAAATATTTTCATCATCATTCAACACTTTCACCTCGGAAATATAAACACAAATGCAGTATAATGTGATCCTTTAGTGACAACGTTTCACCCACACAGTGGGCCTTTTCAAGTCACACACAGATCTACCTGGGGTTGGAAGGTACGAGAGTATTTATAGTCATGTTCAGAATGTTGAGGTCAGGTGGAGAATGCTGCATCTGATGATCTACCGGGTGGGGTTATAGAGTCTTGGGTAGCTTGGCAGGGGTATTGGACAAGTTGTGAGTAGACCTTCTGCAGTGTTCTATGTTCTAATGTGGGATAGCGATGAAGAAGTTTCTTGGTGAGTGGTTCAGCTATGTTATAGAAGCCATTGTTCTGGTTGAAATTGTTGGTTGTAGAGATGAGCGATGATTCCAGGATTCTTCTGTATTGAGTGTTGTCTTCTGTGGCTATAAGTCTTGAGTTTCTGAGATTAATTAAATGGTTGTGTGAATTGCGATGTTGTACACAGGCATTCCTTGTATCGTCAGTCCTGCTTGCATATTGGTGTTCTGAAATACGTGTTTGGAGGTCTCTTGATGTTTCACCTCACTCACACATAATCACTTTTTGCAGAGGTGCCAAGAATACAACAGTTTAGAAGTATATACGAATAAAAATACACAACATATCCCTCCAAACTGCCAATATCCCAAACCCCTCCTTTAAAGTGCAGGCATTGTACTTCCCATTTCCAGGACTCAAGTCCGGCTATATGAAATAACCGGTTTCCCTGAATCCATTCACTAAATATTACCCTGCTCACACTCCAACAGCTCGTCAGGTCCCAAATACCATTCATCTCCATTCACTCCTATCTAACACGCTGATGCACGCATGCCGGAAGTCCAATCCCCTCGCCCACAAAACCTCCTTTACCCTTCCCTCCAACCCTTTCGAGGACAAAACCTACCCCGCCTTCATTCCCCTAAAGAGTCATACGCTCTCCATGTCATTCTACTTTG